AGAGAGAGAGAGAGAGAGAGAGAGAGAGAGAGAGAGAGAAAGAGCGAGCTGAAAAAGATTGTGTGTCTTTCTGAACCACCAGCACAATAGAGAATCATAATGAGCTGCTGACCTGAAAGGAGAGATTATATGGTAAAGGATTTCATGCCACGTTTTTAAACGCCTCTTTTTCATTCAGTACTCCTTTGTTACTTTTACCACGGTTTCATATTCCCCTCTCCTTTTAAAAAAAACCATACCCGTTATGAAGTTCAAACACAGGATTCGTTTGTTCCTGTCACGGGTTGAGGGTGGGTTGAAAGTAATGGGGTAAAAAAAAAAAAGGTTTCGAGTGCGGTCCTGGTAGTGAAAATGTCATTGTACATGTATTTGAGCTTAACTGTTAAGTCAGGACCGACGAACTTTGACCCCCGAATGGAGTTTGACCTTACTTAGTGTCAACATCTCAGAGAAGTGGAAAAAAAGCAAGCGATAAACACACACGCGCACATTCACGCGTGCGCACCTATAGCCAAACAAACATACGTACGCTTAAATACTAATAGACAATACGCATTTGTAAACATGTATATATATTATATATAAACATTGTATACAAGTGCAAGGAAATATTATATACATGTATATGTACAGATAGCCAGCCAGCCAGCCACACAGACACACATACACACAGATAGAGAGAGAGAGAGAGAGAGAGAGAGAGAGAGAGAGAGAGAGAGAGACATAGAGAGAAAGAGGTAATATTTCTTAATAGCTGTTTGTGCATAAACACTGACATGGATTTCTGTGAAGGGGGGGGGTATTTGTGCGTGTGTCTGTGAGTGAGAGAGTGAAACAGACAGACAAACAAACAGACAGAGAGACAGACAGACAGACAAGGAGTGGGAGGAGGTTGGGCATCTATTTGCAATATACTTTACACTTGGACAGCTTTTCATGTGATATGGATCTCGGAGATAAATTTCGCTTCTTTTCATCGGATCTAATATAAGGACGTCAGTGTGATCAAAGGCACCATTGAAAGATCGGATGAATGCTTTTAGAATAGGAAATAGACAGATGTAAGTCCCTGTTCAGACGTTGACTTTGTTTGTCTTTATCAGTTGAAATTGAAACAGTTCACATGTTCTTTGTAGATTCAATTTGTTAAAACAAAGATTCATTTTACAGAGCAAGGATGGTGATGTAGAAACGCCCAGAACATGTACGTTTGGAGGGCGGGGGTTGTTTTGTTTTGTTTTTTAAAATTACTTTTTAAAATATCCTCCCAGGACAGAAAAGAAATAAATCGGATTACATCAAAAAGCATGATTGTACTTTGATTACAATTATAGCAGATGAGTTCACTTCATGAGCTGGTACGAGCGATATTGTATATTCTTTTTGATGTATATCTGTTTGT